GGGGGGGGATGATCATTGTCAGCATTCATATTTTCTTACGGAAACTACTTGTAGCTCACCAAATGAATTCCTAGGGAAGTAGCCTGCTGCACGTACACGCTTAATGTAAGTGAGTGTATGTTTTTGTGCATATGTGCAAAAACGTTTGTGCTAGGTTAAATCTAGGTGTTTCGTTCGGGACAAATTTTCAGCGGGAAAACGCGTGATTTCGTACAGACCGGTGCTCAAAAGTGTTAAAAATAAATCAACACAGAAATGTGTGAAAAAAAATAAATGGTTGCTTAACTATGTACAAACGATACAAATCCCACTTTTTTCTACGTGTGTTTGCCATCAGAGGACAAGTGTTGACCTGGGTACCGCTTTGCTAGAATCAGATTGATGGCTTTTGCAACAGTCGCGCTGTGTCATGCCACTTGCTTTGCACGGGGAAGCGACACCGGCGAGTCGGCTACCCGTTTCATCTCATCACTTATAAGTATTTAAGGGCCCCTGCCTAGACGGGTGGTTAGCTCACAGTTGTTGCCTGCCAAATCGACAAGCAAGGTGTGTTTCGCTTCGCTCTTGCCCTCTTCGTGGCCGTTGTAAGTTTTAAACAGAAACCCGTTTAGAAATATGCCCACACTCTAAATGTGTGCAAACGTTCGTGCTAAGTTAAACCTACTCGACAAATTTGTGGGCGAAGCTGCATAATTTCTTAGAAATGAATGCACAAAAGGTGATCAAAACAAGGTAGACATATATTGCTTGGATTGGTACAAATAAAAAATACTAATCCAGTTTGTGTTCTGTTCACGTTATTTCAGACTGATAGCACTGTGAAAAATTGTCGTACGGGTACAGGAAAATTTTCCATGGAAGAAGTCGTACAAGTACAATCTAAAATTGTACAATTTACTAGCCCTATGTATCGACCTGGAATCGAATATGGAGCGACAATGGGAGGTTGTACATGTACGACTCGTATTGTAAATGGCAACTTACAAAATATATCGTACATGTACAAATATATTTTTCACAGTGAGCCTACTCATTCTTTCAGTTTATTCGGTTCACAGGTTGCGGGTGAAGTAAGTACGGATGACTGAGCCAAGGCACTTCGTATACTATTCTGCTGTCGTTTAATTATGTCTGTACATCTGATACTACAATGGCGACGAGACCGACGTGACCATTGACCAACAGTCGCCTGGTGAAGTGCCTCTACCAGGTGCCTGCTTTCGATGACTTCCACCGCCCGAGCGACTTCTGCCGCTTCGAGGGCATCGGGTGCAACCAAGGAGGAGCACCCAGTCCATCTGCAGAGGGGTGTGGACCACGGACGACCACGGAGTAACAGAGATGGAGCCTCGGCTGCCGTATTTCAGCGAATGAAAGCGGGGCCCGGATCACGTCCGGAGTTGTCAAAAGTCGCCACTAGGTAGGCGCTAGTGCCGCTATGGCTTCGTTTGCTGAAGTGCCATAGCGACGAAAGCGCAAAGTGGCAAGAGTTACAAGCTACTAACCCCGGACATGTTTGGGAGCCATTCCGTTCAGCGTAGCTGAGGCTCCATCTATGATACTCCGTGGTGGACTACGGCACCGTATCCAGCCTCCAGGCTTGCCCTGTTATGGCACTCGCCGCAGACCTATAAGTCTTCTCATCCGGAAAATCCAGCATGATTTGAATTGAATGAGCCTTTTGAAGGTTGGTAATAAAGTGATCAAATTTAGAATATGGTTTCATTTTCCTCTTTCGCCTGTTTCCATCAATCGACTTCCTGCATACAGTCCCTTTAAAAATATTTTCGCCGTTTGGATAACTTTAGTCTTTTGGTCTCCTGCTCCAGGAGCGGATAGAGATAGGGGAGGAAGAGAGGAACGGGAACGCTGAGAGGCTTCGAGGCAAGCAGAGTGTGAAACAAATAGGGCCTCTCAGTCGTGGAGCGGGCCGGGCAGGTTCGGCGCTCCATGGAGCAGCTCCAGCAGCAGAGCGGGGGGG